CTTTAAATATCAGAATCAGAATGAGTAATTTGTTTTCACGGGGATTAAAATGTATCCCTGTGATCCCAAAATGCCACACTTTTCATTTATTTTACCTGTCAAGGATTCTAAATATCTGTTCTAGCGACTCAAAACAAAATAACATTCTTCGCTAAATGGAGTATTTTTTTCAGATTCTGTGTGTGATACTCTACTCTATACAAAAGCAGTAACAGAAGACCCCAAAATGGTAGGTAAGGAACCTTTTTTTCAATTTGTGTTAATATTGTGCTCAGATGGCTATAGTATAAAGCAAGAAAAAAGGAACAAAGTTTTTAGTGATACTTTTCCATGATTATTAACTGCAATATTTTGACTATTTAGAAAAGTTATCACATTCTTAGAATTCCAAAACTGCAAACTTTTATGGAACATAATAACAGAATTGGAAGGGGACTTGGAGGTCTTCTGGTCCAACCCCTTAGTCAAGCAGATGTGTTTCTCGCATTAAATATAAGTCAAAGAGGGGATATAATCATGGAAGGATCAGAACATAAAAAATGAAGAATAGTACCTTATAAACATAAAGCTCATGAATATCATCAGATAGGGTAGTGCCATCATCTCTCATTAATGGTGTAAATGCAAAGCCAAAGAGCTTCTTTTCTCCTTTATCTTTTGCTGCAAAACCAAATCAAATATTTACACACATTTTTAAAATGACAGATTAGGTCCTTAGGTTATCTGTAACAAATGAAAAGTCAATATACTATGGTAGTATAGTGCATATGTATGACTAAAGAAGCCAGAGTTCAAATCCTCACTAAAGCATGCAATTCAGTGGGTGATTCTGGGCTAGTGATTCACAACCTGACATGTCATAAAGTTGCAACAATAAAAAACACTGCTTCCAACCAATTTTATACTTGCGCAGCTATAAGTTAGGTAAGTTCCTGCGACTATTGCTGGTTGACATAGGTGCCATAATTTACATTGTCATATATTTTCAAATTATTTCCTGCTCTATGCACTAATCTAATGAAAACATGCAAAATACGACAATAAGACCTCCTGCAGATATAGAAACTTGGAGATGCTTCTAGTGAGGCGAAAACCAATGCCTGCATTTTTGCAGGGGCAGCTAGATGTGAGATGAGGACTGCCAAAATTTTCTCTGGAAGAAAGAACTGGAGATTGCCCCCATGTACTTTGGACAACTGATTTATATAAACAGACAGCAGAAGCTGTTATTTTTGCAGCCACCTGCAATCAGCTGGAAGTTGCGGATTCAATCATGCTCCAAGCCATAAATGCACCTTTTCAGGACTCAAGGTTCAACGAAACCTCATCTTTTTATTCACTTTGGAGCTTTACCTTTATTACTGTTTTTTTAAGATTGAAAAACCTTCAGAGCCACAGTCACTGGGTGGAATTCTCTTCAATCCATTTTGAAAAGAAAGAACATCGCATCTGTCCAGCTTTGTAAAATCTTTACTTTTTATAATTTCTTATAATATACAGCAAATATTGAAAAATTAAAAATAATATATATAAAAATTTAAAAATACATTGTGGAATAATCTTTTAAATTGAATTGTAAGAGATTTACTTGAGTTACTTCATAAAAATTACAAATGGATCTTAAAAGAATTTCTAGAAAAGAGGAAAAAATATTAAAAGAAAACAGAAGCTGGACAAGGAGAAGGCCTCTTGGGCATAGTAGAGTGGGGCTAAGGCCCAGGCCTCCTTGGCATGGTGGAACAGGAAGAGGGGCCAGGCATTCTGGCACATGGAAGGTTTACATACACTGGAGGGCCCTGTAGCTGGCCTAGGCCTCCCAAAGACTCCTCCATTCCCTGAGGTACCAGGGTTGGGTCGTTGAGTGAAGCAGTCACTTGGGCATCTTGCTTAACAACCACTTCCCTCAATGACCAAGACTCTGTACCAATTGTGGTGATAAGTTGAGGGCTACCTGTATTTTGGTAGGTTTTGGTTATTTGTCTTATCTATTTAATATAATCCTTAATAAAAATTATGTAAAAATATTAACAAGTTATACTCACTGGAACAGTGTCTGAATTCAAAACGGAGGTGAGACCCACGGAATCTGTCAATGGGAATTGGGAGTTTGATGACCTCTCCCCAGCGAGGGCTATTATTATGATAGAGAACAAACGAATGATACATACTTCTATTTGGCTCTCCTGAGCCTAAGCTAATGCAGTCCTAGAAAAAAAAGGACAAGGTAAAAATACTAAAATATTACAGTAAACGTGATACAAGATACTAAGATATTAACAACCTCATGTTAACAATACAAGGATTCTATATATTTTAATTAGTCTGTGTTGTGCATGTAGCCCCTTATGCCAGACTGTGAATTCACATTCCCATGGGAGAGGGAGAGAGAGGGAGAGAGGGAAAGAGAGGGGGGAGGGTCTATCACATGCTCCAGCTCCTTCCTCTACTGGATACAGAACACATTCAGTCTTTAGTCTCCAAAAAAGTATCTGTGGAAAATCTGGTATCCCCACAAAGCTAGAGTAATCCAGGAAACGTAAGTAAAGGATAATTTTGCTTTATGTCAGGTGCAAAAGACCAGGTCCACAAGTGAAGGTTCAATTAAACTGATTTATAGCTAAAGCCTATGCACAGAAATTTCCCAAAGATGCTTTTTAAAAGGCAACTAGACTTTCTTAGTTTATTTCCTTGAAAACATTCTGCTTCTCATCCAAGAAGCTTCTTCAGTTCTGATGGAACGTCAGTCAATTTTTTCCCATTTTTCTCTTCCTTATATTAGAGGCTTAATTTGGCTGGCAGAGAGGGCATGCTCAGACAAGGAATTCCTTATGACTGAGTCCAAGAGAAGGACCTGCTCTGCCATGGCTCCTGCCCTTTGGAATATCTTATCCTCTGAGGTGAGATTGGCTCCCACCCTTTTGACCTCCTGCAAGTCCCTGAAGACCTGGTTCTGTCAAATGGCTTGGGGCCCCAATAAGGGTGCATCATCACACTGGGTGTGGTTGATGAATTAAGAAGCAATTCCATCCCCCCCCCATGTACATCCTGTTCCGTTCCTGATCTTTTTATTTTGATTTTGATTTCCATTTTACTGTTGTAGAAATATTTATCTCTTAGGATTTTAATGTTTTAATGCTGTAAGCCACTCAGAGTCATTTTGATATGAGATGGATGGCAAACAAACAAACAAATAAATAGCTGAATTTTTTATATTAAATTTGGTAACCATTTGCTGAGTTTCAGGTAGGAGAAACAATATCTAACCTAATTTAACAGTATCTAAACAAGCAATAAAAGTAAACTTGTTCAACTTTTTTTAGCTTTGCTTAAATAGCATAAAAAGATATAGTTTGAATGTTATGGCAGGGAGAAAAGAACATACTGAATGAGGTGTCTTGGGGATAATAGGAGCCAATATGGTAAGGGTGTTGCTGTGATATCCTGGTGTCAAGCTGGAACTGCATCACTGTCACATCCTGACTGTCACATCCTGGGGCCAGACTTGGTACATATTTCCCTGGAGACTGAGGCTGGATTATGGGTTCAAGTTGCTAATGTGGAAAACCTCAGAAAAATATTCCAAAATATTTAGTTGACTGAGTCAAAATAAGGACTCACAAAAAGGAAAGGAGTAGAAAGTACAGAAAATGTGTGTGTGTACTTAGCCCAAGGTGGAAACAATAACAGCTTAAGTGTTAAAGCAATTCAGTACATGATCCATAAAGTTAATTACCACAAAACGTTAAGAAGAAGCAAATGAGTGACAATCATGATTATACACAGAAAGCTTTTCTCTGGGTGTTCAGCCTCTTCTCTGGGTTTAAAATCTATTGCTTTGCTCCAACAGGACCATGTGAGCATAATCTAAAATGGTTAAAATGGGTGAATACAAAAACTTAAAAATAAAACATTGTCTCAAAACCTCATAGATAGAAAGATTCTAGTATAATTAGGTAGAAGGCCCTTAAAGTGAAGACAAGATTAATTTCTCTTAAAGGAATTGACAATTGACTATGTATACTTCTATACCCTAATGTGGGTAGGGTGAATTCTTCAATATTATTACAATATTTCAGTGATTTTGGATTTCAGATATAAGAAAAGAGAAGATACAGTTTTTATAATACGCTATGCAATGCAATACCATTTGAAATGTGTGGATTCTCTTGGGAGGGTTATTAGAATTAAACATGCAAATATTGTTTGGTAGTTGGAATCCTCACTGAAATCTGACCACAGTGTAAAATGGAGGAAAACTATGTTACGTTTCCATAAACGTTTTGGTGAAAAGATGGAAAAGTGATGTAATAATAAATTAAATGGTCCATCTAAGAAACAGAGTTGGTGCTAGATATTTTGGGATAGAAAATAGAGCAGATTAAATCATGCAAAAGAATCTTAAATCATAACATACCAGTGAAATAAGCAATTTTTCTAGCTGGAAAGCCTATTTTTTTTGTTTTAGTTCATCAGTAATTTAAAATAAAGATTTGATTAAGAATTTCAACTCTTCCACATACTGTATAAAAGATTTTGAATTTTAAAGAATTTAAACCTAACAATGACAGAAATACATTGAATAAAGTATGTAAATATTTACACCTTTAGAATCTCTCCATCTGCATACAGAACGTACATAGTTACTTCTATGTTCTTTTGAACACTTTTTCCACCTCTCTCAAAGTCTCCTTTCTCTAAAGTCAGGTACAAATCATTTCGTATATCACCTACGTATAAGGAGAGAAAATGCTTTTAGAAAAGAGCACATAGTAAATTATTCTTATGGACAAGCCAATGATATTTTGTTCACTATTCTGATAAGATATCAACTCATTCCAATTGTAAAATGAATAGTTAATAAAAATGAACATTTAATATCAGTGTATTATATTTGATGGCTATTGGTAATAATTTATGGAGTCTGAAAATAGGAAACCAGTTATGAGACAAAGGAGAGGGAGAGGACATGAGGTAAGATTTTTCAAATTCCTTTTAAATTATCTAGTTAACAAATAAACGGTCAAATCATTCAAGATTGTTCTATTTCCACATTGATAGCTAATTATAAACAGTTGTAGACAATAAAGTCAATACTCTAACTTTTACTGCATACATTCTCCCATCCTCTCTGTAGGACAGGTTTACCCAGCTGTTTTTTTCAAGCAACTATAGTGCTTAAAAGTACTTAAAAGTTAGTGAATCCTTTTGAATTTTCAATATTTCTGCATAAATATAACTGAAAAATGATTTATTTCCTATACCACAAGTTCTAAAACTAGATAATGAGAACTCGATTAAACAAATATATCAAAAACATTATACTTATTCATTAATTTATTGAGGAAAATGATCTTAAATTGCGTATTTGTATGTAGCATAAGTATATGAACTCTAGGATTACCAGTCTGTTTGAAGGGGGAATTAGAGACAAGCGTTTTAATCAAAGGTCTTTCTTACATTTGCAAATGGCACTATTTATGCGACCACTGTCAGGAAAACACTGAACAACAATGAGGTGCATGGCAGGGTTGCAAAAAGAAAGCCACTACCCTCCCAAAAGGACATTGCTGCTACTACACATGCTCCAGGTTTGGCTTATGGTCACTCACACTCTCACAGCGCTGGTCAACAGCCATATTCAACCAAACACAGCTGGTTGTTTGTAATATCATGGAGACCCAATGAATTTAAAGTAAGCAAACCTTTACCATTACAATATAAATTTGCTTTCTTTGCACGTGCACACACACACACACACAAACTCAAACACTCACCCATCCATATTTACCCACATCCTTCTCAACTAGGCTGGCAAGCATTAGCCAGAGGGAAACTGCCAAGTCTAGATCCAAAGACAACTGAAAGACTGGGCAGGTTTCAAGACCTTTTATCCCTCCAAATCCTTGCTTTGTAGATTCACAAGACTGGCAGCTATCCTTGCTTTGTGAATTTTCTAGATATGGGATGCATACAAAGGATAGAGGGAGATAGTTGGCACTAAGAAGACATCTGAAACCTGATGCATGACTTGGCTTTCAGTCAAATTCCTAAGGCTGTTTTAGAAACAGTTATTTGTACAAACCAAGAGGGCTTCAGAATCAACCATATGTTAACAAAACACCTATCAGTAAAATCTGTATCGTTTCGTGTAGTGTGTCTTGTACTAATAGACTCCATGACACCCTAACGTATGTGTTAGGTCCGTTTTGTCTATTAGACTTTTAAATTTTGTCCTCCCGTCTTTCATCTGTTCGATGGTAATTAACATAACAAAGTTTATACTCCTTTCCTAACGTATTATTTCTTTGTATTATTATTTATATTTATTATGATCACCCATTCCAAAAGACTCTGAGCAGATTACAAGAGCAAAATATACACTTAAAACCAGGGCTTTTTTTTCTCATAGTACCACCCAGAACGGAGTTCCGGCACCTTTTTTGGATGGAACCTTGTAGAATAGGCAAGGCAGGTTGTATGACATGTATGAGTTCCGGCACCTTTTTTTGTTTTAGAAAAAAAGCACTGCTTAAAACATTAAAAATGTAACAAACTACAAGATTAAAAAAACACTCATAGCACTTTTTTAAAAACTGCAACCGCTCTACAAACACAGTAGCTCCCAGCCTGGAACAGTTAGATGCCTAAAGCCTTACACTAGATTGCTTTTATATGAATGTTATCTATGTGCCAATTCAGGGAAGTAGCTTAGCTTCTGGGAGATGAAGCACCAGAATCAAAGACTGAATCTGGCTGAACATGAGTAAAACCATTATTTAGGCAATAAGGATAGTGAAATAGTTATTTCTGTGCCATGGTTGCATTGGCTGAAAGCCACCTAGTGGATCTGTTTAGAGTGACTTATTTCCTGCTGGCAGGTGGCTGGACTACCTGCAGGCTGTAGTGAGGAATATTCATGCTACCTGGCAGATAAAGTCACTCAGATTCATCCAGATTTAGACTTTAACTGGGCAGGAAGAAGTGAATTGTGAGATTATGTGGACTGAATTTGTTTGCATGATTCCTGATGAGGTGGACAAGGTCTTCCAAACTGTCATCTTGACCATCTGTTTGTTAGAGATTGGCCTCCTCTGGGGTCCAGGTGGCCTTGGAAGTGACCAAATCATTGGTTCATGCAATGGTATGGTCTTCTAAAGGAGGATAAGATCCCTCCCTCTTGAAGGCAGTGGTGGTACATCCACTTCTTAAGAGGTCATCACTGGCCCATCCTATTCTGGACAATTACAGTCCAGTTTCCAATCTTCCTTTTGTGGAGAAGGCTGTAGGCTAGTAGGCTAAGTGAGTCCTTGCTTTATTACAGGATGCTAAGAGCAGGGCTTTTTTTCAGCCGGAACGCGGCGGAACCGCGTTCCGGCACCTTTTTCCGGATTTCCGCACAGGCGCAGGAGGCGCGCGGGGGCGTGGCCAGGGGAGGGAGGTGAGTTCCACCACCTTTTCTCCGAGAAAAAAAGCCCTGGCTAAGAGACTGTGACTTTATCTTCTTTCTTGTCCTTATGCTACATTAGTGGTATTCAAGCCATCTGCTTTATTAAGTGATGCTTAATAGGCTGTGACTTTGTTTTCCTCCATTATTGAAAATACTTCTAAAGATAGCATGGCACTAACAGAATCAAATGTGTTTCTATACATTTAAATTTGAAACATCCAATTACATGTCGTAACTGAAAAATGAAAATACCTGCAAATTGCAAGGGAGTTATCTGCAAATTATATAACACATTAACAGAAAATTAAGTGTCTGTACATAGTGCCAAAGCATTTCCATCAAACTCAAGTAGTTTTCAAAATATCATAAAATATTTAATAATGTATTAATGTAAATTAATTTACTATTTTGAAACCTGTTTTAAGAGAATATATGACAACTAATATTCCATGTCAAAAATATCACTTAATTAGAACTGTATTCTAGAAAATGAGTAAAATATAAATGTAGAACTGCCTGGCTAAAACTGGAAGAATCTCCTTTCTTTAGAGAAAATTTATGTATATTATAATTTCACAATAAACAATGAATGGTCTTCCATGGAATTTTAAATAAAATATAACAAATTGTTTCTTATATTACTATTTGTCATTAGGTAATTTACGAAAACATAAATAGGTCTCGGTTTCAGCGTTTAACTAAACTAAATGTTTTCATTCAATACAGTTGCCAATATTTCATAGTGTATCAAATACATATAATTAGTAGAGTCCATCAGTTATATCATTGTTTTACTGTTCTAGAAATTGGAAAATGATTCATTTTGAAACAATGGAAATGCAAAATTTCATGAAGTATCCTATTAAAGCAGAAAACTTCTTTTTCAAAAAACAGAATGGGCCATCTCCTGCATTTTGGAAATGTACCAATGTCAGAATACAAAAGTGCAAAATATTGCTTGATATTGAAACCAGCAGTTTCATTCTTAAAACAAAGTTAATAAAATTTCTCACTCAAATGTTTTGGAATAAAACATTTCTCACAATGTTATATTGTCCTTTAATATAAAATTAATGTAGTACAAAGCAACAATATAATGAAATACTAAACATAAACAAATTCAATTCAATTTTATCTGTCACTGCCCTTTACATTAATTAAAAATCTTCCTTGTACTAAAATTCTATACTGACAGAGAACAAAAAATGCATTTGGAAATACGTAACAACTACCTTTTTTTAACCTTTTATAATTGCTAATTGTAATATTTTTATTGATAGTGGAGTTGTTTTCTTGAAATGCTAAAAGAAGATGAAATGTTTCAATAAGGAATCAAAATAATGGAAATGTTTGTTTGCTGAAAAGCTGATACATGATCAAAATTATTTTGAAGCCATTTTCGTTCTGAAAGCAGTATTCCATACAGCATTAAGAACTGTTACTTCATGTTGAAATTCTGTAAGGCTCGCAAAAGGGGTTACATGAGTAACATAATCCTTACTAATACAAGCTTTCTTAACACTAATGCATACCTGGGACTTAAAACCAAATCAGGCATGTGGAGAGCTAGCAAAAAGAGCCATACATTGTATATATGCATTCATTCCTAATTTAAGACTGACTTCTAAAACATGCTCAAATCATCTAAAGTAACATCTAGAAAAAAAACCCTGCTGCATTAAAAATTCATCCCCAGTCTTCAAACGTAAGTAGAACAGCAAGCATTATCAAGTTACAATTGGAGTTATAATTCTACATAAGTTATAAGGAGGGGTTTCATTGGGGAAAAAACTAAAAAGGACATTCCTGTATAAGCTTTAGTTCTGTCAAGTTATTTTTAGTAAAATATACTATTTACAATTAAATCACTCAGCTACATCTTTTATTTAATATTTATTTTATAACACTATTTACATTGATAAAGATCAGCATTCAATAAGTGCTATAAATGGAACTTTCATTCACTTACCAGGCATGATCACATCTGGGAATCCTACTTTTCTTGTAATAGACACCCCTCTGTTAAAGATAATAGGATATTCTCTTCGAATTTGTTCCATTTCTCCACGGAGAAGCTGAAGAGAAATTATAAGTCCTGAAAAAATGGAGCAAAATTAGATCCTTATAGTTCAATTTACTATGAAACAAATAAAAAATATAATGTACCAGAATTATGTTAAAGACAACATAATACTATCAGAAAATAGGAATTATTATATTTTTATGTTGAAGATTCTCTGGGCAGCATAAAATAATATAAGAGATTGTCCTCTTCAACAC